AAAACAAGAATATTGGTATTAGCATTAATTTAATGCTAATACTAATGCTAATACGACACCCCTAATGTTTACAGATGAATTGTTTACTTTTGAACGAAGAGATTAAATATATAGAGCAACGAATGATTGATTAAAAAGTGAATAATAGCAAGCGTATTTCAGAAAAAAAAATGATATTAATTGTGTGCATTGACTATTAAAAATTTATTTAGTACGTGTTTTTTGTTATTGTGCGAGTAATGAAAATGCGTCTGCTGCTCAATATATCATTCATGTGGTCACTGTATTCACTGCAGACTAATGAATGCATGTTAGCGACACATAAACTGATTTATATATATGATACAACAATGACTGTGCATCGATCATTGTTCGAAGAATCTTCTTGAGAGTTCGTTTGAATTCAGTTTACATAGAATCTAAATTAGTTTTCTAGAAAATTGTGGCTGGTTTTCAAACAGTTTTTAAAATTAGCATCAGATTTCTAATTGTTTGAAAATGATTTGTTTAAAAAATCGAATTAAATTGCTATATATTAGAAAACCAAGTATCTTCGAAACATTAAAATTTATTCAAGTGCATAATGCCAGCTTGAAAATGTTTGTATTCATTTGAAGTCGATTTTCTGCGAATTAGAATTTAGAATAAATTAGCATAGAATATCTGAGCATCTTATCCGAGCATATGAAGATGAGACCGATCGTCGCTTACGAGAAATGGATGTTAATACAGTATGAACTGCAAATTGCTTCAAATATGAAGCATTATCCACTCTATCTCATTCATTTTGAGGAATCCTTCTTATGTGAGATCCGAAAAGGTCAGGACAAATAAATTTTGACTGGAAAGTCTATAACAGTAACATATCTAAATTTCCACACATTAAAACAAGGTTCATGCAGTTAGTAGCCACGATTATGTTCGTTTTAGATGAATGTTAATATTAATTATTCTTGTCAATAGACTTTCACAGAACTGAGCTTGGAAAGAATCCATTTTTTCGAATTTATTCATTTTTTTAAATGCAATTGCAGAAGAGAGCAAAAAGAGCCTAAAAAATGACGTCCCATACTTAATTTATCAAAAGCGTCGCTTTGAGCATTATTAAGCGGGAGTATGCAAGCTTGAGTAATTATACAGAAGAGTGTGAGAGAAGACATTAAGAGAACTGCACATAGCAATATTTTACAGTACCAAAGCGAAAGGAAAGGAAATGCCTGGTTGTTATTTCACAATGCTATGGTCTGTTCAAGCATGACAAAATTAAGGCCTCCGCCTTCCTTCCTCAAAAAAGTCAATTTTTGTCAGAAATGTCGAAATTGAGATAAATGCATGGGAAGATAGCCCATCATCTGCGCTTTCATAAGCAGTAAGAATTTTCCCTCGGTATCTTATTTTGAAAAATTTGTCAAGATTTCTGTCACCCCCTACCCGAAAAATAAGGTGTTTTTTGAAGGTCATCTTCTCTCAAAATGTCGAATTTTCATCAAAAAATAGATTTTTTCGAAAAAGTGCTTTTTCCACCAGAAAATCATTTCTTGAGCGTAAGCGATCGTCAGATAGTCTACAGTTTATGCTATTCTATCATATGATTATTGATCAGTAGATTGTTTTGAATACACATCTTAAAGTGTTTTCATGTTTCAAAAAACTATTCCTAGAGTTGATGTAACAGTTGTGAAAAAATTCAAGTTTCAGATATTATCCGAAGCATCAAATAGTCTATGTAAATGTGTTTGTCTGATATAGATAATCGCAAACAAATACGAAGAAAAAACTGAATTTTATTAAAATAATATCAAGTTACCTTTTATCACGTATACAAATAGCAAAAAAACGAAATTTGTTTATATGAAAAAGAAAGAAAACGAAAAAGTTACTATTGCAATAGTTTAGTTGTCTTTATCTGACTATTTCCATTTTCGGCTTTTTGAATTATAATGAAGATCTTCTACATCTCGACTTTGATCATCATCATTGTCTTCATCATCAGTATCATTTTTATTATCAGTTGTTCCATCATCAGTATCACCATCATCAGAACTAACATCACCAGACTGCCATTATCTGAACTAACACCTTCTGTACCATCATCACCAAATTTTCTGTCATCGGTGCTACCATCTTTTAAATCATTATCATCAGAAATAGCATCATTATCTTTAACTTCGTGAAATGTTTCACTAACATCATCGATATCAGGTGCATTTGTATTGTCTTCTTCACTTGTATCTTTATTCGTTGCACTTAAATTTATCAACTTTCTTTGTTTGTGCATATATTTTTTCTTTGCACTATGTAAGCATTGATTATCGAATGATATCATAATGTTTTCTGTATAAAAGTCGGTATAACCATATAGCTTTCCGAAAGTTTGCACTAAAAATAATAATATTAGCATCATATGAATTAAAAATATATGTTGATTTTCAATTTTTTCATTGTTTTTTACCTAAACTATAATATCCATCATTGAAAATCAATACAGCCAAGTTATAAGCGATACTAAATGTTATCGACGACGATGTTTTATGCTTCGGTGACACGTTCCATATCAGCGAATGCAACGTTTCATTCATATTTTGTGTCGAACCGTTCAATATACGCATCAAACTTTACTTGCTAGATATTGAATCAAATGCAGGCTTAATTTAATTCATAACTGCACGTGATAATGCGTGCGGTGTATGATCATAATCAGTGTTGTTTCTTCTTGCTTATAAATATCCACACCATTCTTCATCACAAAATTCATGACGAGAATCATTGTTTGCCGAGAATTTATGCCAAAAGATTGCCTGAACAGAACAGAAGCAGATAGTTATTGATAAATAAAGGACGTAGAACGTCAAACCTGTGCGCTTTTATAAAGTTTATGAAGATCACTTTTATTTTTTCGAATTGCAGCAGAAAAATGGATTTGAAAAAGAGTTATCATTTGATTTATAAATGAATAAGTCAAGTATTTAATTCTCATATTTTATTACATTAATTCTTTATTGCTATTACTTGTAAGACGTCCTTTTCCCCCTATTGTTTTGCCATATGATAACTTCTTCCTACTGCACTGTCGTTTAATCACTTGAAGAGCACGTTTTAGACATTTTCCAAAATGATTATATATCTTCAATCTTTTCTATTTCTATTCCTAAATATATAAAGTCTTTCAAATATTTATGTTGACAAGCATTAGAAAACTTATTCGTACCTTTCTAAGATTTTTGTTTCTTCAGCACAGAAAAGGTTTTTGAATCTCCATCTCCTATATATTCGCCATAACGAACACCATATTTGTTTTGAGATCTTCGGAACATTTTTAAGAAGCACGACGCTTCTATATTGCCTAAAGATTGATCAAAATTTTTTCCACATTGATGAGTTGTAATTATTTGATCATATTTTTCTCGAACTTCTGATGTTCCTACTGCCCATTTCAAATTAAGAGGCATGCGGGTATTTTTTGAATAACTTTTGATAGAAACAAGATAGAGAGCTGCGGTTTTCGTCGTTGGAAAGAGCAGATGAGAACGCATAGAATCATATAAGATAATGGTTTTTAACTTGGATTTTTGAAATCTCTTGCAATAGTTGAACAAAAAATACCTTAAAAACAGGCCTGATTTTTCCAGGAAAAACGGAAAAAACTCAAAAAAACTCAAAAAAACTGAGTGTTTTTTACAGAAAGCGCTGGCGAAATGGACTATAATTGTCGAATATAGTACCTAGAACTCGCAAACCAGTAAAGCTTTGAATCAAGCGTTATATATAGTTTTGTAACTCTTGAACTGGCGATCCTGGCGCACTCCTCAAAGTTTAAGATTTGTTCTACCTTTAAAGAGCAACAGTCTGCTCTTTCAAGATGACAATGGATCACTACCTATTTTTGAGATAAATCTTAACAGTTTTATATGAGTGGATGCCCTGAATCAACCTCTTTGCAACGGTGAAAACTACAGCTCTCTATCTTGTTTCTATCAAAAGTTATTCAAAAAATACTCACGTGCCTTTTATTTTGAAATGAGCAGTAATTGTAACAAGCTTTTGGCATCTGAAATATAAGAATAGTTGATTATGATTCCAAACTTTTGATAAAGATTAAAATAATTCAAGATAATCACCTGTACCAATGTTACATGCTTTTGAACATGTCTCAATGTCGACGACTTTCGATGAATCACAAGTTGATAATAAAGCAGCAGCGCCATGCTTGCTGAAAAAATCTCTGGTTTGTCACGTACCGTCGCCAGTAACTGTAATATCATTACTTTTGTCAGCATCAGTAGCTTCTCGAATTGCTGTTGACATAGATTCTCTTGTAAATGATTGAATTACTTATAACAATTCTTTATCACGTTTATTGTGACGTCCTTCTTCTAGTGGTGGCGGTAAATTTAGTGCTGCAGAGATTTTTTCAATCCAGTATGGCGTATACCAGTTAAATGACCAGCAAGTTGAGCTCTCACATTAATATCATAACGTTTTGAACCTGGTATTTGAGGACTGAAATCTAAAAATAATAAACAATAAATGCGAAAATAACTAGATCATTGAGGAATAAGAACGTACTAATACTCACGTAGATAAACTTTGTTACTGCAATAATTACATTCAACGCTGAGAATAACAAACAGTCCTTCTCTTTTGTTCATGTGAAGTTTTCCGTTCCATTGCTTGTCGCATAATTCACACTTTGTTTTCGATAATAATGATAATAATAATTGATTTTGGATGATAGAATATACATCTAACGGTGCATCACAAACAGATGACAAATTGTTATATGTTTTTTGCCTCTTGACAATTTTTTAGCTTGAAATAGATAATATACGTTTATTAGTAGTTGGTGATAATGGTGATGGTGCTGTTGATATTGATGATTTGGATTTTGAACGTAAATTTTTTACAAGCTTCCGACGTCTATCAATAAAACTAGATATTTTTATGGTTGTATGTAAATAAAAGAAAAGTATTACCTGTAAGAACGTTTTGTATTTCGTTTGTTGCCCATATTGAATTATCGTTTATATATATAGTACAAAATAGAAATAAATCTAAAAAAACCGACACATATCATCATATCAGTGTTGAATAACAGATAACACTGCACTTTCGACGATGAGATTCAATATATACAGTACCCGACAAAAGTATCCCCCCCCCCCCTTGGATCTCAGTCACAATACGAGCTGTAGGTCTGAAAACTAGTGTGCACATAGTTCTCAATGAATGC